ACCTTATACAGCTTCAGTCCTTGTTATCTTCTCCTGTTTTTAATCTTTATTGTCCTATACTCCTTTTCCTCATCTGGATCTCTCTACCTCTAACCTCTCCATTCCAGATTCCAGGCCTCCTTCTCTTTCATTACTCTTCTTGTCAGTGACCTTCCCATTTCCTTTTCTCCTCCTCTAATCCTGTCTATTATCTTTTCCACTTGATATGCAGGTGGTCGTGGTTGATGTCTCGGACACTTTCCTACTTATCACTATTGACCCATCATGTATCTGTTTTCTACATTTTGTCCATCACTTTCATGTTTTCCCATTCCTTTTTCTTCCCTATGACATAGCATCGGCCCCTTTTGTATTCATGGGTATTGTGAGGGCCTTGAAACTCCTCATTCTTTTGGGGGGACACACACACACACGTACTTCCTCTAGTAGATCTTGCAGACACAACGGTATCTTTCTTGGGCTCCATTTTCTTCATTTGTGATCTTCTCCTCGAGGAATTATCATGGTGACTGGACTGTGCCCATACTTATTCTGGCATTCCTTTACTGGCTTTCATACCGGATCTGTTTCTTCACTGATGCTTCCCTCTCTGATTGAGACACACCTCTGGATGAAGGCATGACTTCTGGTATTTGGAAACAGTACGAGCATTCACTCCACATCAGTGTACTAGAACTTCTTGTTGTTCATTGGTCATGTTCCCATTCCTGTCTGTACTGGTGGATCACTTGGTCATGATACACTTAGTCAATTCCATGATTGTTTCTTACACCAACTGTCCAGGAAGCATCAGTTCCAGGACCATGTTCAAGCCATTGGCTTCTTGCTTTCTGATGACATATTCAAATCAAAATTCCGTATGTCACAAAACCCCGATAACAATTCGAACCCTTCACCGAATGATATAACACGTCCGATCACATGCTCTGAAATTAAAATGCACATCAAAAAACTAAAAAAGACTGCCTCAGGTGAGGACTATTTGAAATATAGTAATTAAAAACCTCCCAGACAAGTACTTAACATATCTGACCACTCTGTATAATCTATCACTGAAAACAGGATACTTCCCTAAACACTGGAAATTTGCAGTCAGTATTGTAATCCCAAAATCAACCCCTGATCTACAAAATCCAGCCAACTATGGACCAGTAAGTCCACATGTAAATTAATGGAAAGAATAATCACAGATAGACTTCTATTCTGCCTAGAAGCCAATAATATCACTGACATACAAAATGCAGCACGTCATAAAAGACAAACCGCAGACCACCTAGTTAGACTAACAGAAACAATATTTCAAGCATTCATCCAACTTAACTTCCCACACATAATAATATGCTGGACATCAAATTTCCTTAATAAAAGACAAGCCAGATCTCGGTTCAACAAAACCCTATCACACTCAATCGAAATACAGGCAGGTGTCCTGCAGGGTTTTGCTATTAGCCCACTGCTCTACATAATCTATGTGAATGACATTCCATTTCCAAAACTCGCGTATACTCATGCCTCTCAATACGCGGATGGCATAGCTATTTGGAGCACGTCAAGAGACCCACTTACTGCAACTAAGAAAGTTCAAACTTCTCTAAATCATATAACATCATGGTGTAAAAAGTGGTGTGTTGCATTAAATCCAGTCAAAATACAGGCCATTACATTTTACCGATGCTTTAGAAGGAAAAGGAAAAAACTTACTCAAACAAAACTAACACTACCAGGTTCTGACATTAATTTCACTAAAACTGTTAAATTTCTTTGCATTACTTTTAATAGATCGCTAAACTGGACAAAGCATTTTAAAAAGTACGCAAATCAGTCAGTCAACGGATCATGTACTTAAAGAAAATAGGAGGCACTCAGAAAGGCTGTGCACCTAACTCAATATCCACAAATTATACATCAAACCATGTTACATGTAATCATGCAGCCATATTAAATGATCTAATGACAAAACTTGAAGCATTACAATGTCAAACAATCCAAACAACTCTGAGATTACTGAAATACACCCCATCTACCTACTTAGATTCACTTAACATTATACCCAGTCTTAAAGAAAGAATTACAAAACTAGCTAAAAGATATATTGGATAGCCAGTACAAGAAACTTGTTAACACAGCAATTTTCAACACTAGCCGCAACACCTAACACATGGCGCACCCACAAGTCTCCATATTTTATATGTAATTATTAATATGTAGTGTTATAATCATCGAAGCTGTTCCTCTTGTTTCAGATTCCTAGCTCAGGCACTACCTAGATAGAATATTTGGCGTCCGGGTAGTGAAAGTGGTTTTTTCTCGGGGTACTCCCATTTTGCTTCTACGTCAAAAATTTTGAGTATTGGATCTATAGATCCACACCTGTTGATTTTGTTTGATAGCCCACATTGGTGGGGCCTTCAGCTCTTTTACTTTTGCTTGCTTGACATTCATAACATTCAAGTTGAAAAATCAAATATGCAAGGTTTTTATTTTATTTTTATATTCTTCTTTATTTCTTTATTTTTTTCTCAAGTAGTTTTTCTAAATTGTAATATCTTGAGTGGGGACGAAGAGAAATTTTTCTGAACATCCCCAATTGCGTTCAGTCATAAACATTACTGTTTAGGATTAAACGTTTTTAATCATAATTACTACCATGTTTTTTGGTTTGGTTTTGATCTTTCCTTCCTAAGACTTCAACCATTCAGGAAGTTAACCACACCCCCTTTTTTTTTTTATCTCCATTCTGTCTATAACCTGTTTGATCAGTTGAACCCAGAACAGCTCCTATGTCCTGTTTGGTGTTCCTTATCATGGACCTCTCCCATTTCTGTCCCTACCCTGGGACCCCTCTTCTTCCAGGGACTTCTCTCTTTCTACCCTTACTGAATGGATGTGTCAACTCCTCTTGATATGTTAATTTCTGTATGTGGATGCCCATGGACTATTTCAAATTTTTTTGTATTTGCTTTGTTACTTTCTCATTCTATTGCACCTCATCTTCACTGGTCCTAGGATGAAGGCCTCCAGGTAGATATGTGGATGACTTTCCACACATTAATCTCTCCTTATCTTCACCATCTGGTTTTTTTGTCTCCTACCAATTTTCTGCTTCCATTAGTCACCATTCTTCAATCGCTTCACCATCTTTCAGAAGGGTGAATATTGTTTCTTTTTCAGAGCTCCTTTTGAATTTCATAGGATCCCACCAGATGGCTGGTGTTGCCTCCCAGCATATACTTATCCAAAATTTGCATCGAACCAGGATAATGAAAAGCACTCACATCATCCGTCCTGGCTTTACGAGTGCCCAATGTTGAGATGGGATGTTCCACAAGACCACTTGAGGTATTCTTGTGGAATATATATGTACTCAATGTGTCTAATCCAGACTACCTATTCCATGGATCATCATGAAACAAGCCAGCAGCAGGGAAGTGTTCTGCTGACTTATTTGGCTCGTGTTTGCTAGCTTTTAAAAATAGGGTTTTATGGTTACCCACTGTACTGTCTCCAGTAAAAGAGCTTTCTGGCTGGAGGTGTGATGGGGATCCAGGCATTTCTCCGAGTCTCCCTAATGTTAATTCTACCCTTCTTCCTTGAGTAGAGCACAGGAGAACCTTGCCACTTACTAGTTCCTACATACTTGAGTGGTGGACCATGAAGAATCCCCACCAGTTGAACATAGCTCAATATGGTGAGAATTGGAGTTGTGGTGACACTGTCAGTGTAGCACAGGTCACCCCTCAAAACTATAACACATATTACTTGTATCTTCTTCCTTCAGCCAGAGCCTGTTCAGTTGAGATAAGTACTCAATGCACTGAACGTATGATATAAGCTAATGTGACTTCCTTCTGCCACCAGAGTCTGTTCAGTAGAGTCAAGGTGAGCACATACTATATGAAACCATAATACTTACTACAGTGCCCTCCTCCTGCAGCCAGAGTCTGTTCAGTAGAGTCAAGGTGAGCACATACTATACAAAACCATAACACTTACTACAGTGCTCTCCTTCTGCAGCCAGAGTCTGTTCAGTAGAGTCAAGGTGAGCACACAGGGTATGGTCTGAATGTACCCTAACTATACTACACATATTGGCTCACTGAATGCAAGTGTACAAGTTCTTGGACAGTCATGTTCTCCATCCGCCTGCCCTTGCGATACATAGGGTTCATCAGCCTTTTCCTCTCCTACACTTTGGGTGAAGAGTATACCCTGATTGAGATGAGATGCGGTCTCCCACGGGTGTGCCATCAGGTGTCACAGTCCATGGGATTCCTTTCGGGTGCTTTCTGAAAGGAGCTCATTTAGGTAACATTTTGCCCCCTCCACCAATTCAGTGTGGAGTTCTAACTTTTCTATGTGTGAAATTTAATTTTTGAATTGGTAGTTAACATTTTCCTAATATGAAAATGTATTTTTGATCGATACCTCAGTATGCATACCCTCCCATTCTCCCCATTTCTGGTGCTCATTTTTGTCTTGCCGTGTCAAAGAATGAAGTTATCACGAGTGCAAGGGCACAGGGGGAGTTACTGCACATGGAGGCTATGTTACCCTCCTATTGTTGGAGGGATTTTGTTTCATGATAATGACATCATGCACCAGTGCAGTTCACATTAAAACATGAAATTAGGTGGGAGTTACTTCAAGGCTAATGACATGCAATTCTCTCAGGAAGATGAGCAGTGAAAATAGCTTTTCTATGTGAAAAGATGAGTATCTTTCGGAAATATATTTTCAGATTAGGAAAATGTTAATGTATTGATTATAGATATGTTTTTTATAAGGTATGAAAATAATTTTTTCTATACGGTAAACTCTATACAGGTTTTAGTTGTCAAATATTTTGGAATAAATTTGTAATTTAGAACTCTTTGTATAAACAACTAATGCTTAGTGTTTTGAAAAGTTATAAACAAACAGTAAGCTTTTTTTTTTTATCTACAGATTGATTTTTATCGTGTTTTTGATTGTTTACTAATTTACTTTATTTTTTATGTTAGTAAGTCATTCCTTTGGGTTTGGACTCATGGATGCAGCGGCAATGGTGAAGCTTGCCAGGAAGTGGAAACCTATTCCACCTCAGAAAACCTGTACTTTTCATGCCCATCCCATGAGCAAGTAGGAAAGATCTACGTTAAGTTTCAGTGCTATTAGAATAAATGTTTTGTTATGCCCATGTGTTGTTATCCACTGTTATACAAACCAATATAGAATGAAATTAACACTTTCGTTAACATCACTATAATATAATATTAATTAATAACAGTTTCACAGTAATCCTCTGACAAATATCACAGCTACACTATAATATACTAACAATTGATACAACCCCCTTGGAAAATCTTCAATCATTTCTTCCCTTAAAATGACAGAGTACTGCTTCTAACTTCTTATGTTCATTAAGTCTACACTGATGAACAAATGGAGGCAACAAACACACCATTCCATCAGAGTAGTATAATAATCTTCCTGTTAACTAACTTCCATCATAATAAACCATATAAAAAAAGTTGTTCTAGCAAAAGTTTAAAATTCTGATTTACCAGTCAGTGTTTGACTTAGCTGGCAACATATTCAAAATATATAGACTGAAAATCCAAGGTAAAAACGCTGAAGGTAAATCAACATTTAAACAATATCTTAAGTATACTTCTGCTTGAATTCTAGTTTATAGATACGTACATGTATTTAATGTCAAATGAATCCCATAAATTAAAGTATGTAAAATAGAAAATGTAATAATGATGAAAAATTTGCCCAAAGTTTGTTTCAGGCAACAGCCCTTCATCAGGTTTCCATAAATTGAAGTTCTAAATTTCACATGTTTTTACTCAACAATAATACACTTATTGTAATATACCCCTGAATAATTGAAATAAACTGTAACATGAAGAACACTAAACACTAACTCAACTTGTGAAATCGAGGTACTCCATTCTAACACTATTCATGAAATGTCTACAGAAATCTCTGATACCTTAAGTCATTGCTATGATTCCTTATATATATATATATATATACACACACACACACATATATCCATGCATATGTATTACAAAAATTTAAATTTTTTCTAGTTTCATTAAGTATTTGAAATTCTTACCAGAAGTTTAAATCCAAATATAAGTATGGTGCAGGTCATTTGTTAAATAAACCCTAAATGTTGTGAGATTCAGTAATGAAAGGTCT